CCCCAAAACCCCAAAACCCCAAAACCCCGACTTGTAAGATTTCTGACTAAAAATTGAGTGATAATATTTCTGGAATATGTTGATAAATATGTGGGTTCTATTATTGATTTGATATACCTCTCATTCGAAGTATGGGCAGTGTCTCCATCCGTATTCGTAGAAAGCAACTGGGTTGAAGAATCTAGCTTTCTTATCTAAGGCAGTTATTGAGTCATATTCCTCTTAGGTCATCTTAACTTGATAGATGTTGAAGTTCTCTCCTAATCTTGAAAGAGTTAAGGTCTTTGGAATGATGATGTGTCCTCTGCTTAGGTGCCAGTTCAAGATGATTTAAGCTGCAGTTTTTTCGTATTTAGCAGCCAAATCAACAATTACTTATTCAGTCATAAGGTTAAGACCCTTAAGGTGATCATCTCTCAATGACCATGCATTAGATCCGAGAGGAGCATATGCTGTCAAGGTTATTCCGAGCTTCTTATGGAATTCCACAAAATCTTTTTGGACTAAGTAGGGGTGTAGTTCAACTTGATTTGTGACTGGCTTGTGTCTAGCATATGACCATAAATCCAAAAGCATGGGAATGGTGCAGTTGCTAACACCGATGTTCTTGATCAGACCTTCATCAACAAGTCTTTCAAGTTCTGCCCATACTTTGTGAGTTGGGGTATTTTTGATTGGGACTTCATCATCCCATTCCATCTTTGGAGCCATCCAATGAAGAAGATACAAGTCTAGATAATCAATTTAGAGCTTCTTGAGACTAGTTCTGACAGCACCTTCAATATCTTCTCTATCAGCTTACCAAAGTTTGGTAGTGATAAAGAGATCTTCTCTCTTAACACCAGCAGCAATAGCCTCCTGAACAGCATTACCTACAGATTCCTCATTGCCGTAGATTGAAGCTGTGTCGATGTGTCTGTATCCGTGGTCAACAATAGCTGACTTGACTACAGGAATGAGCTCCTCTGGAGTTGAGAGGAATGTTCCAAGACCTACTTGAGGCATTTTGTTGCCGTTGACAAGTGTAAGATATGGTTGATCTTGACCGATTTGTTCCATTTGCTTAAGATATTTATTACTAAATAAGACTCTCAATCATTTATTACACTTTTTTTAAACACATATCCAAATGACTTTCTATTTATCCTATCAATATCATTGCGAATATGATTCAATTTTACTTTGATTCCACTTAGAATTTTCCATCCTGGGGTTTTGGGGTTTTGGGGTTTTGGGG